AATCAGCCTCTCTGAGAGCTACCACAGAGTTCGGGAAACCTGACTACCAGCCGGCCTCAGAACCATAAAACTGAGTTTTAGAGCTGTACCCTCATTTGGAGATAATAGAATGAGTTGCCTAGTCATAAAAACAGAGACACAAGCAAAACCCATGGATTGAGTCAATAAAATCCAGCGTTCAACATCCTAAACTGGAAACAATGTATTAAAAATACATCTGCGCCAGCCTAATAGATGACGAAGGGGTGCGAGGCTGGTCAACAGATAGAATCTGTTTACCCCTTAAGTCTTTGCCTAGAAGGCCTTCTACAAGACAGCAGCCGGATGCATGTAACATCTGCCCAAGATGAGTATTTTTATCGAGACACCATCTCTAGCCTTTACTCAACCAAGAGCGTCGTCCCCTTTAATCAGGAAATACTCCGTTTCTTTAATAAGGATAAAAAGCTCGATTTAATTTTAAATGTCTTCATATTGCTAAATATCGTGACTCTCTGAGTCACTAAATTTAAAAAACTAAAAAGAAGAAAATAAAGTTTAGCAATCAGGACCGGCGCGAGTAGGTGTCACGTGGGAGAGTGCCATTAAATTTTGCCGACTAAAAAATAATAAAAAAAAAAAGGTCCTCGTTTTCCAAAATTCGCCGACTGCCATGACGACATTTGCCGACTGTCTAGATAACCAATAATGAAAGGGTCGACATTTGCCGACTAACTAGTCTAAAAGGGTCCAATTTGCCGACTAAGGGTCTAATTTGCCATTGATGGGGGGGAGGGGGTGTCACCTTCCCTCCTCACACACACACCCCCCTCCTATTGCGCCGGCCTTGATAGCAATATCATTTGCTTAAAAATTTAATATTCTATAATCTTTTCTTTCGCTTATATAAATTTTTTCCTTAACTTTTACTGTCGTCAAAGACGCTCTAATAAATAAACATTTTAAAAAGAAATTTGCTGCTACATTGTTTTTTGGTTTGTTTGTAAAGGAAATTTTAATTTATAACAAATCTTTTCATATTTAAAATAGGCTAATATTACTTGTGGTTTTGTAATTTTTTATTTATTTTACTTTGTTCTCTTTTAAAAATAAATTTTTTTATTTTGAAAATCGGCTAAATTTGGTATTTCTTTTTAAATCTTTTTTTTTAATACTTTAAAAAAAAAAAAAAATTTATTAATAAAGTTGAAAAAGTAACTTACAATGTTATGTTAACTTAGTTTAATATTAAAATAAAAATATACTGCATCTGTGGGAGGACGCGGGTTGCAATGCAAATTAAATATTTGTACTTTATGTTATTTTACTTTTATATAAAAAATATTTATATTTTAAAAGAAAAATATTTCGCTCCTTTAATCAGCAAATACTACGTTTCTTTAGGATAAAAAGCTCGACTTGTTGCTACACTCGTCTAGATAATCGCATTACTAAATATTGTAACTCTCTGTGAAGACTAAAAAGTAAAAAATAAAATATAGCAAAAACATTTGCCAAAAATATAATCTTTTTGAACTAAAAAGAAGAAAATAAACTTTTTAATTTAAATTTATTAGTTCCGTAAACTAAAGATTGACAGGTATGTTTCTAAATAAACATTGCGCAGACCTGTCAATCTTTAGCTTACGGAACTAATAAATTTATATTAAAAAGTTTGTTTTCTACTTTTTAATACAAAAAGATTATATTTTTATCAAAAGTTTTTGCTCTATTTTATTTACTACTTTTTTTTTCTATAGAAAAAAAAGTTTTATAGCAATATCTGTAGAAATTAACAGACATTCTATAAGAATTCTATAGAATTTCTATAGAATTACGCGAAATACTAAGTTACGTACATTTGTAGACGGACATTCATATGTTCTGATGAAATCTAATGCTGCCAACATAGTAACTTTGTGATACGCATCGCAATTATGTAACTGTAAGTCTCCATCTTCACCCAAAAGCTCTGAATAACTTTTAACAGGTTAAGTAACTAGCTTGAGTAATTGCACTTGACCGTGTATTCCTCCAACTTTTGCAAAAATAAAGAAATACTTACAAAAAATTCCATAAAGGCATTCTGAAAACATTATCCACGGAAATTTGTGTAAATGTTTCTCGGACAAAAAGCAATAAACAATTTTACCCTTCTTTAAATGCACAAAATATGGATATTTGTAATTTAGACCAGAAAACCAATTGCATTTCAATATTCGGTATTTATCTTGTTCAGTTACCTGACGAGTTAAAAATGCCCCAATGTCTATAAGCAAACAACTATCGTCTTTTGCCGCAGGTATTGAATCTTCTTTTTTGATTTCTGCGTTAGTTTTACTTATAAATTTAGTAGCTTCCATACCAAGTTCAGATTCTGGAGAAAAAGTTTTATTGTAATTTGATTATTTTCAGCCCCGCCAATAAATACACAATTAAATCGTTTGGATGATGACAATAAAACGATAGGACCAGCATGAGCTTGTGTTGGTAGAATTTTAATTCTTTTGACAAAATAGTCATCTAAAGAGCTTGTCATCTTTATCCTGTTGATCATTGAAGCTAATAAAATAATTTCATTTAAAATAGTAAAAATCATTTGCCATTTATTTATTTAAAATAGTAATAAACACATTTTTGTTTTTTAAATAAAAAAACTAGTTTATAAGAAATTCATTCAGTTACTATTTAAAAAAAAAATCTTCGTATCTTATTTTAAATACAACTTGAAGTGTATATAAGCGTAATATAAATTGAAGTTTTACAACTTCAATTGTTGAAAAATAAATACTTTTTTATTGAATTTTAACTACCAAAAAGGTAGGCTATCTTATTCTGACGCTGTCCTTAAGGTCCGAAAATGTAAAATAACGACTTCTTCATTTAAAAGAGAACATGCCTACCCTAAACCCTCAGTCGTTGTTTACACACTCCGCTGCATGTTCTCTCTAAAAATCAGTCGGTGTATGTGCGCACAGCTGCAAATCCCTATATACTCCATTTTCCCTATTTCCTAGAAATACGAGTTTGCGGACGCAAAGGAGGCTCAACGTCGGAATAGGGGTTTGGAAAGAGTGCCTATCAAAAGAGTTCCTATCAAAAACGGCATCGCTTATATAAATTACACTGCAAATTTAAGTTAAATTAAAAAAAAAAAAATTTACAATTTAAACCAAATCTATATATATTGTTTTTCGAAAGTTTTTTATTGTTATCTAAGTTTATAATAAAATGAATTAATCGTGATAATATTAAAATGTTCAGAAACTTTCATAGTTTTTCTTTAATATCGTAAAAATGTTAAAAATGCAACAATAGATTTTATTTGTTAATGCTATGAAATAGTTTTAGTTTTGCAAAAAAAAAAAAAAAAAAAAAAGTAAATAGTTAGCCGCAGAAAACTTTTTGTATTTTGTTATTTCTTTTACAAATTTTTTAATAACATTTTGAAGTTAGAGGGAGGGAAGGGGGTTACCCCACTAACCCCCTCCCCCTCCCTTGTATCCGCAAATTTTTTTTTGTTAGCGTAAAGTAATGTAAGACTAAATCATGCTCAGCGGTTTTTTAAGAAGGTTTGTTGGTGAGCGAAAGATACTATGACTCAAAATGAGGTTTTGATTTTTTAAAAAACGAAAACCAGATATATTACTGAATTGGGGAGAAATGTAGTAGAGTGCTTCTACATTTACTAATTTAGGGATAACATGCAAGGGAATGCTGCTACATCGACTGAGGGTTTGGGTTTAGACAGGTATAGATCAATCGATGTAGCAGCACTCTCCTACATTTCTCCTTAAATCCGTAATATATCTGGTCTTCGTTTTTTGAAAAAATCAAAACCTCATTTTGAGTCATAGTATCTTTCGCTTACCAGGTTTGTTAAGGGTTTACAAATAAAATAATAATAAAAAAAAACAAAAACAACTCTGGTGACTTGGGGAGGTGAATTAAAAAAAAAACAACAAAAAAACAAAACAATAACAATGGTTTCAAACCTACCTTAGGTTGGGTACTTTCTCCAAAATTATCGATTTACTTAAAGATGAAAGATTATCAATCCTTTTTGAAAATAAATTAATTAAAAGAAATTTTTAAAGATTGAAATGATATCTATTGTTCATGACATAGTTCATTGTTTATGTCACTATTAGCACTCAAGAAAAAAATTTAAAGTTCTATTTTTTAGACCATATTCCTTAAATTGGAGGGTATAGTCTCTTAATTTCTCATTTTTCATTATTTTTATTTTTAACATTGCATAATACTTTTTAAACTCTAATAAAATTGTTTTAATATATCAACATTAGTAGTAAATACATAAGTAATAAAAACGACAACAACGAATTTAGATTATAAGCAGTTAAGCACCAACTTATGACTTTCAAAGTTTAATTCTTTTAAAATAGACAACCACCAAATATGAAGATTTTATAAGTCAAGTTTAATTGGATTTTTTGCAAGCCAGCAAATTAATTTTAAAGTAATGTGATAAATATATTTTTAATGATGTTGATATTTTTGTTACATTCCACAATTTAAGGCATTGCCCTACTCTTTTAGCCACATTTTTTTTTACTAATAAATGCTTTGATAATGGTTTCTGGTAGACAATCCCATTGCTAAAATTTAATAATGGTTTTTTGATAATGTTCAAAAGTTATTTCAATATCATTTGAGTATTCAACAGGCTCATGATTCCACAGTCTTGGTTTTTTGACATTTAAAATAAGCAAAATAAAAGTAAAATTTTTAAGAAAAGCTCAAAAGTTGTTTAAAAACAACAGTATTTTGAAATCTTACATGTCAATGAATTTGAGTCTAAGTTTATAAAAGTCAGATTTTTCATTATGTATCTTCTAATAATATTGTTATTGTTAATATTATTATTATTATTATTATTATTATTATTATTATTATCATTATTATTAATACTATTGTTATTATTTTTTATTTAAAATGATTAGCATTTTTAATTAAAATGATTAGTCATATCATATTTTGCTTTATATAACTAATAATTATTATTTTGATTAAGATTAGTATTTTCACTATTAAGTTGTTCATACAAACTTGCTGAAAAATTATTTTGGTTATGTAAATGAGTTATCAAAGTTTTGGTCAGAGTTTATCTTCCAAAGTATCTTTATCAATCACTTGTAATGGGTTGCTCAATAAAGATATAACTTCAAAATCAGATCCTATTGTACAGGTGTTGATGCAGACTCCATTAGGTGCATGGAAAGAGGTTGGTCATATAATATATAGTTATCATGATGGTATACTAAAATAATAAATAGTTTTATTTAAATTATGCAGATAGGAAAAACTGAATGTATTAAGAATACATTAAATCCAGAGTTCACTCAATCAATAGAGGTAGATTACAAGTTTGAAGAAGTCCAGAAGATAAAATTTGCAGTCTATGATGTTGATAATAGTACTGACACTCTGTATGATGATGATTTTCTAGGACAGGTTGAAGTAACTTTAGGAAAGGTATCTATATTTTATTTGCTAAATATTGCTGTTCAATATTTATGCTGTAAATTTATTATTTTGTTTGAGATGCATAATAAAAGTCTGTCAAAATATATATACACACAAAAACATATATATATATATATATATATATATATATATATATATATATATATATATATATATATATATATATATATATATATATATATATATATATATATATATATATATATATATATATATATATATATATATATATATATATATATATATATATAAATAGACTAGTATTGTAATTGCTAGTAATTGCTGGATTTTTTTTTGTTCAAATTTGTATAGCAAAATAATATTGCTCAAACATCTGAATATCATTAAAATATTAATCTAATTAAAAATAAGCATTTTTGATATTAAACTAAATGATATATAAAAATTTCTGTTCTACAAAAAATGCAATAATTTTGTTGTTTTCTGATCAAATCTTAAAGATTGCGTAAAAACTCAAAGTTTTATGCAGCAGCGATATTACATTAGCTCTAGAATAAAATTTCTTATGAGCAATACAAATTTTTTTAAATGCCATTTTATGGGTACTTTTTATTGTACTTATTTAAAGAAGTTCTATGAAAAAAAAATGAATGCAGTAGGTCCTGAAGTGGTGCCATCTAAATGCAATACTAAATTTCTCAATGGTAATTCTTTAAAATGGAACATACACACTCACCATTGAACTGGATATCCTAAATGCAGTTCCAGCATTCATTGTTCACACCAGTATTTATGTTAGCTCCATCAGCGCCAATAGCTAACACATTATCAAGTGATATTTTGTTAACGCACAAAGAGTTTTATCTTTTCTCCCACTAAAGAAAATTAATTTTGAGCCTACTGAACACATAGCTAACTTTGCTTTGTGTGATAATGCAGTTTTAAGTCTTTGATGCCTTAACATGGTTCGGTCTATGATAACTTTTCTGTCATGTTTTTTTATAATTTGTAATTTGAAAGTGTGGCAGTAGCAGTTGTTACTCCAGCAACATCAGATACACCATATCTTGTTATCTGGCAACTATTGAAAACTTTATAATATTTCTGTCAGATTCACAGCTTATTCACAGAAATCTAACAAATTATTATCATCAGCATTGCTCTGAGTTTCATTTATAAACTCCTCTTCTCCATTTATAAACTCCTCTTCATTTATAAACTCCTCTTCGCCAGAATTAATTTTTGCATCTATCAGAAGTGATAGTAACTGATGCTTCCAGACTGCTTTTACTAGATGAAAAAAATCATAGTATTTCTGTCTATTTTGTGCTTCTTTCTAATGCTTTGGTTAATATAAAAGTTTTTTCCTTATTTAAACGACCAATAACCATATTTCTTTCATTTCTTTGATCCATTAAAAATTCATGCTTAAGTACTGGCACTTTTGGTATTCTTAAATTATTTAAATTAAGGTAAAAAGTTTAGTTTTGTTTGACATGCTGCAATGTCAAACAAAACTAAACTTTTCATCTAAGCAATTGATACTGCTGAAGTCTTTGATTCACCTTTTCTTTTAAAAATCATTCTCAAATTATTGTGCAAAGGTTTTACTATCTGCTGCACTCTTCACATTGAACAGTTGGAATACCAGATTTCAACCAAATGTTCATACATTTTTAGAAACTCTAGAAACTAATGTGCTTGACTTGGTAGTCCTAGGAAGTTGTAATTTAGAAAAAAATAGTGCTGCGTGACTTCCTTACCAGTTGGAAGTTTGTGAGTAGTAAGTTCACAGGTGTGGCGGAATAGTGCAAAATTTTGATTTTCGCAAATTTGATTGTTGATTAGTGTCACAAATAAGTTTAAGGAGTAGTGTCGAAGGAGTAGTATCAAAAACAAAAAAAAGGAATAGAGTCGCAAATAAATTTAAGGTCTTATATCTTTGATTTTTGAATAGTTTAACTTTTTTTTTTTAAGGTATTAAACAATTTTTGAGGATTTTTTAAGACCTTTTGTTACCCATAGTTATTCTAGACTTTTGTTTTTTTATAAAAGTAACATTTTGGGAAATTTTTATCATTAATTTCAAATAAATGTTCCTTAAATGATAAAACATTTGTATCGTTTGTATAAAGCGTTTGATAACGACCTGTTTTTCCTGTAATTTTGAATCAGTATTATTATTTGAAGTGCTCAGTGGAAGAGTGGTTTAACCCATAGTTTAAAAATTTTCCAGATAATCACTGCCAACAATACATTGAGTATATAGTTTGTTGTGGAAAAAGTACTAAACTCCAAAACCCATTCATACAGTGCTGCTACCCAGTCCACACACTAAAGCCGGCACTGCTGCTACCTTTAATCATATTTACTTTAATGGAAAAAAAAATTTTGAATTGTGGAAAAGTTGCCTATCCCACAAATAACATGGCAAAAATAAACAGTTCAGATTTGGAACACTTTCTAATGAAAAGTGATTGTGATGATTCAGATGCGGATAACAACCCATCTTTAGCGGACGATGTTAGTAAAGGTATGTAAATAAATAATGAAGCATCAATATGTACTTTTCATTGAGCTTATCATACAATAATATAGTTTCCAGTCTCAATATTGTTTAGGCAGGTTTTCTTCTAGTTTTTTCAAAACTAACATGTACTTTTTTTTTTTTTTTTTTTTTTGCTGTATACATTTAATCACACCATAAACATATATAACTTCAAATAGCAGGGGCAAGAAGAAGACAAAATGTCTTATCGCCAAACCCCTAATATATACCGTAATACAAAATAATAAAGTATAGAAGTTGTAAAACCACAGCCTATATAACGTTTTTATATAGAATTTATATAAAAAAACAAACAAAAAAAGATAAAAGTTGTAAGTCCTGAACGTCCAACTTTAACTAGGATAATCCACTTTTTGAAAAAAAAAATTTTTTTATATAATATAACAAATAATGTAAAAGTAATGCAAACAAATATTTGCAATTGCAATTGCAAAAAAAAACATTAAAAAAAGACAAAATTTTAATACCATAGTAAAGTATTTAGTATCGTAAAGATATATATTTTTAAAAAGCATGCACACAAATACTCACAATCCTGAAACTTTCTTTTTAAACCAGTATATACTTTGAAATATTTGGAGTACATAGTAAAATTTTCATGAAACATAAAGTTTTATAAAAGAAGAAACTGAAACAATAACATATGAAATAATTTTTTCAAAGTCTGCAAAGTTGATAATGACTGACGTTGGTTAGGTTTATCAGTACCAACCTGCAAGATTTGTTGCAGATTTGAGTATCGGGAACCAATATGTTAAACAAAATGCAAGACCTGTACCTATAGCATATTCTGCTTTTAGCATTTTCTATAATATTCCTATTTTCTCAATTTCTGTTTATTTTCGATATTATTCTGAAAAGTCCCTTTTTGAGATAATTCTCTTTTGAGCTATTTCGATCTTATTCTATAAACTATGAGTGAGAAATTAAGAAAATCCCTAGATTAAAAAGGACATTTGCAAGGCTTTGCTTACAGACCTTTCAAAACTTTTGATTGCATTCCGCATGCTTTGCTTATTGGTAAATTGAATGCGTATGGTTTTAGCAGAAATGCATTAAAGCTCATTCAATCATACCTTAGTAATAGAAAACATATAAAGAAAACAAAGAGTATAAGAAAACTTAACAATTATATTAACAGAATACACAAATACACAAATGAGCATATCAAGACTATCAATCTTCTTTTGAAGAACTATTCATAAAAAATGGTTTGAAAACTATACATCACAAGAATTTACATGTATTAGTTACGAAAGTTTTTAATGTTAAATTGGAGCTTGCCCCTAAATTGATGGAAGAGACTTTTCGTTTTCGCAATACTTTTCTAAGAGGGGATAAATTTGCATATAACAATATACAAACTATATTGATCAAGATAAAATTTTGTATCCAACTGTATAAAGTTTATAAGATTTTAGAGGTGTCAAAACAGACCCTTTTTTGCCCCTAAAATTGCCCCAAAAGGGATATTACTGTAGAGCAATTAATTGGTTTTTTTATTTTACAACCACCTAAAGACTGCACTTTCTCTCTGCAAAATTTTAAGATTATACTTTTGTCTGGGTTTGACCCAATTTTTTGCTGATTCTTTGACTAAAAACCTGTTTTTACTATTTCCAACACTATTCTGTTTTTACTATTTGCGACACTTCCGTTTTTACCATATGCAACACTATTCTGTTTTTACTATTTGCAACACTATTCTGTTTTTACTATTTGTGATACTATTCCATTTTTACCATTTACAACACTATTCCATTTTTACCATTTGCAACACTATTCCGTTTTTACTATTTGCAACACTATTCTGTTTTTACTATTTTCGACACTATTTTGTTTTTACTGTTTGCGACACTATTCCTTTTTTTCTTTTTCGACGCTATTCCGATTTTACTCTTTGCAACATTAATCCTTTTACTATTTGCAACATTATTTTTTTTTGTTTTGTTTTTGACACTATTCCTTAAATTCTTTTGTGACAATATTCTTTTTTTTTGCAACATTAGGCCTTTTTTTAATATATTACACACTATTCCGAAATTCATTTTTTGACATTATTCTTGTCACCCAGTTCACATTCGATGCCATTAAACAGGACAAGTCAGCTGTGCTCTTGTAAAGCCATAGTTTACCACAGAAATCAAAATATTTTTAATTTTCTATATATAAACTTAGTTTTATTCAATTTGCAAAACAAAATTCTAGAAATAGATTTAAATTAAATAAATCATATACAGATGGGTTATTTGATATATATGTGGATATTGGTAATCTTTATAATATTAATAATAAAACAATCTTTACATACTAATAGTATACTAATCTTTATATACTAATAAATAGTTAATTTTTGTACAATTTTTTTAAAATAAATAATTTAAAAAAGTGTTTGTTAAAACCACAATAGTAATGAATAGTAAATTACTGAGTAATTTAAAATGATAAGAAAAGCCTAAAAATGCCTAAAATAAATAGAATATAATAATTTAAAAAAGTGCTAGTTTGAATCACTGAATAGATAATTACAAAATTGTTTAAAAATCCACCCATAGTTTTATTTTGGAAAACATTAAAAAATTATGATCAAATACCAATAAAAAGCCTGAAAATGCACCATGTAATTCTCCCAATAGAAAAAGAAAGCCAAAAAAAGTTTGATTTTTATTCTATTTTTGTTATATCATCCAATGGTAACAATTTATCACAATTTAAAATAAAATTTCATAATTTTAGAACAAAAATTACTAAGTAATTTAATAACAATAAAAAAAGCATACATACATACATACATACACACATAAATACATACATTTTTTTTTTTGTTAATTAACTCAACTCTATAGCTCCGAAACATGAACCTTGACGAATAAAGCCACTGCGCAGAGAAACAAGTTTAGCGCTGTACTACCAGGGATGTGGTGGGGATCGAAGTCAGAACCTCTTGCAAATGAAGCGAGCGCAATACCACTACACCACTACCACATACACTACATACATACATACATACACTACATATATACATACATACATACATACATACATACATACATACATACATACATACATACATACATACATACGTACATACATACATACATACATACATACATTTAGGTACTTATCAGAACCTTATCAGAAAAAATACGGTTGGCAATGAATTGTAATAAATTTTTGATTTAAAATTTTTACCAAGAAGACTTGAAATGTAATAGGTTGTATCCAGATATGCAGAGTCCCAAAAATACTCTGGCTTTATAACTTTATTTTTTTATGGTCTCTGGTGCCCAGAAGCTCTAAACATGTTGGTTGATTAATGATCTGCTATAAAAAAAATATATATTTTAATTAATGACTTGAAACTTATTGTTTTTAATCCTGGGTTCCTATAGGCCTGGAGTCCTTGCTGCTATTATGCCTAAAGACTCCGGGTTCAAAAATTGATTGTTCTTCTGACCTATAAGTCTTGATTTTTTCCCTTTTAGTTGCCCATAAGCTTTTTTTTATTTTTTAAGCTCCTCGATACCAAAAACTAGAAAGAAGTAATCTTTTTGTGACTTTCAAGTCAAGAGTCTTTTTTTGAACTCCGCATCCCTAGTTGTATCTTAAGGCTTGATGAGTGAGGAAAAGATCAAGGGGAATGAATGTTTTTAGAGCATAAAGGGTGACTTTCTAAATTACTGAAAGTCAAGCAAGAATGATTTTGGTTAATGGAACTTAAGATGATAGGTTATTTGAGCAGCAACCATATTAGTATTTTTAGAAAAGAGAAAGAGATAGCAACTTTACAATGATTGGAAGTGGATCAAGCTTGGCTGAAAAAACAGGTCTATCTATTTTTATAATGCATTGTTTGACTTTGTCTAGAAGAAAAAGAGTAATAGGAGAACAAGTCCAAATATAACAACAGTGTTCGATACAGGGATAAATAAAAGGTTAGTAGAAGTAGAGAATGAAGTTATGTGTAAAATAATGACAAGCACAAAAAATAGAAGCAACCATAGTTAACTTTACAATGGCTTGTATATATGATTTCTATAAGAAATCATATTTACAAGCCATTACTACAGATACTACTGATCTTTATTTTTTATGCCAAAACTCTAAGCACTACACCACAGGTGCTTTAAGATTATGTGAAGAAGTGCTAAATGGAAATGCATAAAAAATAGTCAGTAGGTGAGTTGATATATAGAGTTAAGTATATGCCTAGGCCAAGCGTGTGACAAATGAAGTCTTTAAGAATCAAAGAATTGTAATTATCTACACTGAGATCCACAGATAAAATATAATAAGAATAATAATATTGTGGATCAATAATAAGAGATCCACAAATAGAGCAAGTATATCTGCATTTTGCAAGATGCAACTTATGAAAAGTTACTCCTAAGATATTCACAAAAGATATATTGAAAACAGTTAGCTATGGTAATCATTTTATATGTTTAGTATTTTTAGGTGCTTTAGTAATGTTTAACTTGAAGAGAACTTGACTCATTGATAGATAGAGCAAGGTATCCCAAGCAATGAATTATGCAGTTACCTCAATCCTACTAATTAACCCAAAGAAACCTCTTTGACTGTTGTGGCCTTCTCAACCTTGGGGAGGTGAATATTTAAATTAACCTAGAACGAACATTATATTTTGTTCCATATTAAACATCAAGGAGTTTTTAAAGACTATTGTCTGAAGTTGCATAAACCCTATCAGTTACATATGCTTTCTATGCAAAGGATTAGGAAGTTCTATCTCTTTAAAATGTTAAAAAATTTAAAAAAGCAACTGTTTTTTTTTATGAAGTTGTGCACCTTTTTCAAAGTGTGCAATTTCTTAATGATTAAAATATTTCTCTGAGGTTCTTTATTCCTTGTTAATTTTTAACCAGTAAAAAATTAAAAATTAAAATTGTTTTTTCGACTCCTGTCCTCTTTAGTTCTGTAAATTTGTTCATATAAATTCATTTGTTCATATAAATTAGATTTGACAATCAAATGTTAAATTTGATGTCATGAAAAATTTTTTTTTTGTCTATTTTTAAACCAAAAAAATGTGTCATGTATTGTTTTAAATTTACAAGAAGACCTTACAATTGTATATTTCTCCTTCGAGAAGGTTTTTTTGCTAAAATATGTAAAACTAGAGTCCTAATTTTAATGTTAATCAATATTTAGAGTTTTTTTACTTAGTGTTGTTTGTACAATTTATAACTTTTTGACACATTTATTAAACATTAAAATTTTGATTTTTCATTATATAAGTCAAAATTTCCTTTATTAAACTTTTTGTTTGAATAATCATCATTGGTGTGTTTAATTATAGTTAAGGCAAAAGTTTATGATCAACAACAAAGTCATATTTCAACATTATGTATTGTTGGAACATGACAAAAACCATATAGTCATGTTACTCAGTCATTACAGCTTCATGCAAAACAATATTTTAGCCAACCCTAAAGTTTAATATGTTTAATATTATGTTTTGCAAAGTATTGCATGTTTGTGTAAAGTATTGCATTTTGAAAAAATTTATATATTTATGTTTTGCATTTAAAAATGTTATGTTTTGCATTTAAATTTAAATTAAAAAAAATCAAATTTGATTCTAAGCAGTACAGCTGTCTCTATTTAAAAAGATATATTATGTAAAAAAAAATTAAAAATCATTAAAACAATTAAATTTTTTAGTTGTAAAATTGTTTAAAATTTAATTTAAAATTTTTTTTTACAACTTTTTTTAAGATAGTTTCCATGAAATGTGTGACAGAGAAGCTTGTTTATAATTCTTCTTCCAATGCTGGAACCATAAAGGTAGGCTAGTAATCTGGGAAGGGTAAAGGTTATATATTGTTGTCTTGATAAGTCATTTCAATCCTTAGCGCTGATTTAACACTTTGTTTATAACTTCATGACAATAAACATTTGTGGCCTACAAATTTATTTGTGCATAATGTATAGTTTGTTAGAATAGTAAAGGTACAGTTGAACTCATGTTCAAATTAAAACTGCTCTTAACACACTTAAAAGTGTGTTTGAATTTACACAAGTTTTTTGAATTATTAAAGTTCAATACTAAATATTAAATCTTAAAGATTTAATTTTTTTAGACTATAATTTTTTTTTCTTGCTGTTTTTTATAAAATGATGATTATTTTTTAAAATTTTATATAATTTTGCTTTGTTTGAGACCCATCATGAGATACTTTTAAAAAACTTCTTTTGATAATATTAGGGGACCCATTTAATGTTCAAGGGTCTGTAGCGACTGCTAAAAATATTTTTATTCAAAAATTTTTTAAATCTAGTCTTTCAAAAACATTTTGTTTTTGAAAGACTAGATTTAAAAATTTATTAATGTCATATTTTATTATATCTTTTAAAAGTTTATTGTAGCTGAAAGTTTTAATGCCTTATTATAAAAATATTTTTTTTAGATTACTGCTGAAGAGATAGGCGAGTCAAATACTGATGTTGTATTTCAGTTCAGTGGACAAAAGTTAGATAACAAAGTTAGTCTTGTTTCTTATAACATGGTTCAATAGTATTAATTACATAGTTTAATGGTTATTGTTGCATGATTAAGGTTTAAAATTTAAGTTCATAATTACAGGGTAAAGTATTGTGTTTGGAATTCCAAGGATTTTTGAAGCTTGAGGCAAACAGTACTTTTGTGACAATATAAATTTAAGAAAATTTTAAAAGCCTTTTTAGTTTTAAGTTTAATTTTAAACTGTTATGAGAATATATATTAGAGATTAAATAAATAGATTATTTTTTAAAGGATTGTTAAAAATAGAAACTTTCTATCTTATAATTTTGTGTTATAGTTAAAAGTACAGTTACCATTTTATAGTTTTTTTTTTAAAGGATTTTCTCTCAAAATCTGATCCATACTTGGAATTGTTGAAAGACAAAGGCGATGGAACATTTATAGTTGTTCACAGAACACCAGTAATTATTTTTAAATTTTTCTAATAAAATAACAATAATAGTAATAAAAATAAAGTTATCACTATGATTATCATTTAGTTACAGTGTCTAATTATCATTATTTTTTCAGGAAATCAGTGAAACCATTTTCTTATTCATGTTTATTCAACAATCTTTAAAAATGATTTTTTTAAAAACTTTTTTTTATGTAATTGGCTTAAGTTAGAATTAAAAAAAAGATAATAACACAGTAGAAGCTCAAATTTTTAAAATAGGTCATGGGTTTATATTCCTCACCATTTATTATTTATATACTGTATTTCAACAGATTTGAATTAATAGTATAAACTATAATGATATTTGGCTTTTAATCATTGATTAATGATTTAGACTTCATAATTCCTGTTTTTATGTACTTTATAAAATCAGTTTTAATGCCAGATGCTTTGGGAGGTAACCTAAGCATACTCTGCTATACTTAAATTATTGAAAAACCACTTTTATTTTACTTAAAAAAGCCCACTTAATTTTTATTAAAAAAGTTTACTAACAGCAACAGCAGTTAAACATTTATTATGCGTTTCCATTATAATAAGTAAATTCAAATTGAATTAATAATCAAAAAATATCTTTGTAAACTTACAATTCTGTGAGTTTTTTGAGTGGGCAGATTTTATAATACTTTCAAAAAAAGTTTAATCTATTTTTAAAAACTGTTATTAACTCTAAAGTTAATATTAAATATAGTATGAGATATAATTAAACATTTTTGTCTTAGTTTTGTTGCAAATTTTAATATATGAATTAAAATTTTCAACATTAAACGCCAATAGAAAACCTATCCAAAAAAAAATTAATTTTTGTCTTTTGGTATTTTATATTTAGAAACCAAAAAACAGGGAGTGACTTAATTTTCCAATACAAAATCCAAAAAATATATAAGACAATCAATTAAGTAAACATATTAGGCTCCAACCAGCTTCATATAAGAGACCAGCATTAGTAATCACTAAGCAGGTCATAAAATTTAACAATATATCAGGTGAAATTAATTCAAACTAATATGTATTAAGTTTTGCGAGAGTCCTACTATGGTCACAAATTCTTCGTAACCATAGTAACCATCATAGGTTCTTAAGTGTTATGTAGAAAAATAAATGCATTATATATGTCTTGCTTTTCATCTTTAGATTCATGTGATTGATTCACTAAATTTTAATTCATTTTGATTTTATGATAATTGAAAAATATATTGTTACTATAGTTACACTGCATATAATGTATTTTTCTGTTTATTGCTGTTTATAACTATGGTGGTGCTATTGTTTATATATTTTAACTGCATTGTTTTAGCATATTGACAACACATTAAATCCCAAGTGGAAGCCGTTTACAATATCTCTCCAAAAGCTTTGTAACAACAATTATGATTTGCAACTAAAAGTAAATATATTTATAATCATGTATATTGGAAATTTTTTAATGGTCTGTTAAAAATTTCTAATATACATATTTTCAATAGTTTGAACAACCAGTGGGTTTGGTTTAAACAAAAGTTGTGGTTGGTTCCTTTATTCCATCATTATTTATTGACCCTATTCAACATTTGGATTTTATTGTATATAAATAAAAGATTTGTTTTGTTTATTTTTTTTTTATTTTATTAATGAACCATTATAAAGTTATGTTAAATTTATATTATTTTAAAACAAAAGTCCAACTAATTTTTTATAAACATTTAAAAACTCTTATATTTAAAATTAAATCAATGGTTTCACCCTTCTGTGGTTTTCAAAATGCCATTTTCTGATTTGAATATGACATTATGGAATATTATGACCAATGATATGATTGATTTCCAGTAATATTAATGGACAGATAATTGTCTATGATAATTTGTGTACATTTTAAAATAAAATGTACACAAATGCCATGTCACTTTAAAAATCTGTATAATAAAAAAAATTATTGTTTTAAAACAATTTCTTATAATAAAAGTTTTTGTTATAATGTTTTAGATATGTTATTATGACTATGATGATGATGCTATTTCTATGGTTTTAGATATGTTGTTATGACTACGATGATGATGGTAGCCATGATTTAATTGGTGAATTTTATACAACAATGAAGGAAATTTCTACTGGTGCTCAAAGACAGGTTAGTATTAAAATTTTTAAAATTAAAAAATTTTACAATTTTTGAATGGAACTTTGTTTTTCATGATTTCTGTTTGGTATATGTAAGGTTTGAATAGCTTCTGTGAAATATTGAGGGTTTCTATACACAATATTTAAGTTTTGTATGGTTTCAATGCATTGAGCATTTTTATGTTTTAAAATTAAATGTTGAATGTTTTTTATTTTCTGTCTTAAATGCTGAATATGAAATAAAAAGTAGTTAGATGTTGTTGTTTTTTTATTTAATTTAATGTATTTAACTCTTATTTGTTCTGTTTTTTTATATTTAATTATTGTTACAAACCTTTTTTAACACTAACATCTTCACAAGTAAGAAGAGTTTGTTAAGAACCAAAATTAGTATTTCTTATTTATGAAGTGAGCGCTCTACCATTAAACCACTAGTGCATTATGTTTTATAATATTATTATGCTATGTTTTGAATAATTTACTTGCAAAGTATTAGAGTTTTTATGCTTTTGTATGGAATATTGAAAGTTTAATGGTTTTTTTATTTTTGGCACCCAAACAGGTTGTTAATGATTCTGTAAAATTAAGTGATAAACAAAGTTACAATATAATCTAACCATAGAAACTGTTTAATGTGTTGTTTAGATTTATAACTCTTTTTTAGAAGCAATTTTGGTTTATCAAAGCAAATCAGACATTTTGTTCAATTTATTGTAGTTGTTAAATAAAGAAATTATTAAAACTAAAAACTTTATAAAATTACTAAATAAGAACTTGTGAAGATGTTAGTGTTACAAACCTTTTTATTTAATAAATAAAAAGGTTTGTAACACTAACATCTATAAATAATAATGTAAACAAATAAATTGGCAATTCTGTTAAAAATTAATTTGTCTTTATCAAAAATTGCTCAACTCAGCAAAAACTCATGGTGATTGCAGAAAATTTGTTTGCTTTTTGTGTTTGAAGAAATGTGATCACATATTAACTGCTTTTTTGATTGAATAGTCAAGAATATTTTTAAATGTAATATAAATTTTAATGATGAGAAAATTCCAACTGGCATTTGCAATTTATGGAAAGCAAACGACAACGACTTAATACTGTTAGTTTTATTGGACAAATACCAGACTTGTACAGTTTTAATTCAATTATCACTTAGCCATCTACAAGATATTCTGGTGCTTTCCAGAGTATAATTTGTAAGGTGGCCAAATCAAACCTCAAAGAAAATCTGCCACAATCTGCTTGATATATTAAATCAAAAAGCTAAAGTCTACCCTGAAACCGTATCAAAGCTTTCAGTCCTAAGCCTTTATCATTACAGCTAGCTGAAAAAAGATGCAGTATTTGTTTGTCATTACTTGTAAAAGAACATCCTCACTTTTGTACTATAGGTACAAGGTAGAAAAATGTAAAGAAACTTGTTTTAGAGGACCATAAGTGTGCTGAACAAGTAGTGGCTGATTTAATCTTTAAAAAAATGCCTCTCCAGGAGGTACTGTCAAACTTAGTAGTGCAAGTGGAGGTAAATCTTTAAAAGTTCTGCCAGGACAATCAGCGAAGTACAAGCATCAGCTGTTTACATCTGAAACATTAAGGAATTTGCTGAAAAAAAATGAAACTGGACTCAGAGTTTTCAGTAAACAAACCACTGAATCAATGCATGCCAAAATCAATATCCACTGGCAATGGTTTAAAAGGCAATCTTCTCATCCTGAATATGGGGACAAACGTCTGAATTGTATTATTGATCTTCACAGTAAACTCATTTGGAACTAAATTGTTGTAGATTAAGAATAAAATTTTAATATAAATTTCTTTTGATTTTTTATTCTACTAGAAATCAAAATAAATTTAATATACTTTATTGTAAATTAATATAGTAGTATTGGAATGTAAATACAAATATTCTTTATTAAAAAATAAGTAAAAAGTATAAGGAATATTAGTTTGTAATACTTGTAAAAGTTAAGGCAAAAAAAAGTGTTTTTTTTAACTTTAGACTGTACAAACACTTTTTAAAAATAAAGGTTTTTGGTGTATTTCGGCGGAAACTTTTCTCCTGCAGGCGTAATTGAAAGAATTAAATTTTTTTCTTTTAAGTGGTTCCTATTACCTATAGAATCACCCCTCCAAGTGTTTTTTTGGTTCATTTCCAAAGAGGTTAGGACCCCTTTTTGGACAACTGTGATTATATTTATATTCACTCTATACAGCTAATGCCCAGTTTCTCCTAGTCTAATGCCCAGTTTGTCCTAGTCTAATGCCCAGTTTCTCCTAGTAATTTTTGTGAACAAATTTTGAAATTTAAAATTTTTATATAGGATTTTAAAATTAGCGTTTTATTTATATTATTGATTTTATTATATATTACATATTTAATTTATATTATTGATTTTATTATTATGCACTCTATGAAGTATGTAAAATTGTAATTTTATGAAGTTTCTATGTAAAATTTTGATGATTCATATGATTTTGAGACATAGCCGTGATAGCTCCCTTTTGAAATATTGATAAGTCATTATTTCTGAAACAATGACTTATCAATATCTGTGATTAACTCACAATCAAAAATTTCAAGGATCAAATCCATTATATGTTTTTGGTTTTTGCCTTACTCAACCTATTTTTCTGTGCAGCAGCCTTGTTTAACAAGGTTTGTGTTTCAGAGGTCAGGGTTGAGATTTAAATAAAAAAAAAAGAGTCTTGATTCATAGTAATTTTTATTTTAAATAAATTTAAAGATGATTTTTTTTTTTTTTAATTTTGGTTTATTTATTGTATTCTTATATATTTTACTTACATGTTTTTAATTTTCTACTTTAATAATTCAAGTTATAAATAGTTAATAAAATATAATAATTAATAAAATTGTAAATTATTGAATGAAATTTATTGTTACAGTTGCAATGGGAATGCATAAACCCTAAAAAAAAAGCAAAAAAAAAAAGTTACAAGAACTCTGGATTGATTATCTTGGAATTATTAAAGGTAAACATAAAATTATATTTGTTTTTAGTTGAAAAGAGTTTATGAAAATATTATCAGAACAAACTTTTAGGCTGTCTGCATTAAATTATAAAAAAAAAACAAAGCTGCAAATATTTTTTAGAACAATGTTTTTTAATAGATTATAAGTTTTTTAAATAAAAAACTTAAATTTTGCACTTTAATTTAAGTTTTAAATGCACAAACAATAATAGTAACTAATAACCTTACTGTCGCCACTTTTAAACTTTAAAGTCAATAATGAGTTATGGTGGTATTTAGGACAATAACAGATAGGTTGATGGTTTAAAATTATTGAAACTAATGATAAAGAACTTTGTAGTTGATTCATAGTTCATATATATCAGCGTATATGTTGATATATAGACATATGTATCAACAATGTTGTTTATAATTTCTTTCACAGTGATTAGTAATGTAAATGGTTTTAAACCTTTCAATAGGTTGTAAAGAAAGCTTCGTTTCTTGAGTTTATTATGGGTGGATGTCAAATTAATTTTACTGTAAGTAAATTACTGATATATTTTATTTATAATTTCAAGAAAAATCTATTATAAGTTAAAATAATATTGTAAAACTTCATTTTATATTGCAGAATAATAATTTTTGTATGATTTGTATGAAAAGCGCTTAGTGTGCTATGTTTTAGTTTTTTAGTAAAATAATATTTTCATTTTTATCTTGCTTTAGGTAGGTATTGATTTTACTGCTTCTAATGGAGATCCATTACACCCTTCATCTCTTCATTACATTAATCCCTCCCAAAGAAATGAGTATGAAAAAGCTCTTATAGCTGTGGGAGAAGTATGTCAAGAATATGATTCGTAAGTTAAATATGTATACATATATATGTACATATATATATATATATATATATATATATATATATATATATATATATATATATATATATATATATATATATATATATATATATATATATATATATATATAATATATATAATATATATAATATATATATATATATATATATATATATATATATATATATATATATATATATATATATATAATATATATATAATATATATATATATATATATATATATATATATATATATATATATATATATATATATATATATATATATATATATATATATATATATATATATATATATATATATATATATATATATATATATTATAAAGTTGTATTTTTCATTTAAATTATTTTTAATATATATATATATATATATATTATTATTATTATTATTATTATTATTATTATTATTATTATTTTTATTCTACAATAAAAGTTTGAAACTTCTATGAGCTGGGAATCTATCGAGACCTAGCTATAGTAGACCGACAAACAATTGAATTAATCCATTTGTCATAATTATTTTTGAATTAATCAACTGTCTTTGAAGCAACGAGGAAATCTGGTCGACTATTCCAATAAGGTACTACAAAATTGCATAAAAAATTATGTCTGGCTGAATTTCTAGTAAACTCTCTATGGATTTTGAATTTTGTACCGCGTAGACCACCAACTGGGCCTTCGACTGTTAATGGGCTGAGTGTATGATTTTGCGACTTAGCTTTATTAAAGTTCTCGGAAATTTTAAGATATATTAGGTCATCTCTTATTCTGCCTTTGTATAAAGTTGTTAAACCCAACTTAGCCAGATGTGATCTATAACTCAGGTTCCATAACTTAAGGAAGTAACTTAGTAGCACGTCTGTTGTTCAGTGTCTTTTTAAAGGAATGGATTTCAAACTGGTGCGCAGTATTCAAGCAGAGGACAAACATAAGATGTGTAGAGTTTGAGAAACATTCACACATTCCATTTTTTAAAGGTTCTCTTAAGCATTCCTAAAACCATATTAGCTTTTTGTGCTGCTTGGTTTGTTTGGTCAGCCCATTTGAGCTTGGTGTTTATATAAACTTCTATTGTTTGTTCAACACAGATATTCTCTAGTTGAGTTTGATTTCCAGCATTGTCCTCCATATAAAGAGAGTCATTGAGATACAATGATCTGTCGTGAAACTTTAAAACTTTACATTTGCTGATGCTGAAATCCATACACCACACTTTAGACCACTCACTTAAAGAATCTATGTCATTCTGAACATGAAAAAAATCAAGAACACTTTAGTTTGACAACTAGTTGACAATCATCAGCAAACAATTTACAATAATTTATGACAAGTTCTGGCATATCCTTGAAACAATAGTGGTTCAATAACAGAGCCTTTTGGCACACCACTCAACACCTCAATCCAATCTGAACAAACCTCACGCAAAACACCACGCTGCTTCCTTTTGCTGAGAAAGTCTTTCAACCAAACTATAATTTTAGTACAATAACCATAACCAACAAATTTGAGTTGAAGCAGGTGGTGAGACACCCTATGAAATGCTTTGGCAAAATTCAAAAGAATCAGCAAAGCTGCACATCCATCACTAAGTGCTTCAGTAATAATATCAAGCACCTCTAAAAGATTAGTTGTGCATGATTTTAGTTTTGCAAATCCATGTTGATGTGGCGACAAGAGATTGTTCAAGAGCAAATGATCAGCCATCATATCACGTATTTATCATATCATTTATTTGCCAACTGTAGAGGTCAAAGAGATTGGCCTATAATTACCTGGATCTGTGTGTAAACCTTTTTTAAATATTGGTGTAATGTTTGCCTGTATAATATATATATATATATATATATATATATATATATATATATATATATATATATATATATATATATATATATATATATATATATATATATATATATTATGCGGCAGTGGTGTAGTGGTAAGAGCGCTCGCTTTGTAAGCGAGAGGTTCTGAGTTCGACTCCCACCATGTCCCTGGAAGTACCGCGCTCAACTTAGTTTCTCTTGCTTGTTAAGGTTCGTGTTTCCGAGTTAAAGAGTTGAGAGAGGGTTGTACCACGAATTACAACAAAAAAATAAAAAACACAAAAAAATGAGTAGCCTTCTCGACTGTAGTGGCCCCCTCGGGCCTTGGGGAGGTGAATAATAGAAAAAAAAAAAAAAAAAAAAAAATGTACTAATTTATTATTGCTCTGTTCTTTAACAATATTGAGCACTCTACATGTAGAATACAATAACATTATTTATATATATTCTGTAAATTGCTATATATATATATGTATAGTATGTATATATATATATATATATATATATGTATGTATATATATATATATATATATATATATATATATATATATATATATATAATAATGTTATTGTATTCTACATGTAGAATACAATAACATTATTTATATATATTCTGTAAATTGCTATATATATATATGTATAGTATGTATATATATATATATATATATATATATATGTATGTATATATATATATATATATATATATATATATATATATATATATATATATATATATATATATATATATATATATATATATATATATATATATATATATATGTATATATATATATATATATATATATATATATATATATATATATATATATATATATATATATATATATATAATAACTTAATACATTCAAGTCAACATGGTTTTGTTAAAAACAAAGTTTGTGTAACAAACTTCCTAGAAACTAGTTTGTTTGCAACTGTCAATATAATTTTTCTTGACTTTGAAAAAGCTTTTGATTAAGTCCCTCACATCAGACCTTTAGATAAAGTGTTTGAAAATGGAATTCAAGGCAAAGTTAACAAATAATTAAACTCCTTTCTATCTACCAAATACAATGTGTTGTTCTTGGTGAATCGATTTCGGAATAGGCTGATGTTAGTTGAGTTCCACAAGGCTCAGTTCTTGGTTCAGTATTATTCGTTATTTATATCAATAACCTTCCTGATAATCCCTCCCTTTTACCTAAATCAGTTACATTTTACCTAAAACAGTTACAATTTCTGGAGTGCCCCGCCACAGCCAAGTTTTTTCAAAGCGTCACGTGAACTGGTTTTTACAATCTGAAAATAAATTTAGTAATTCCTAGGAGACACTTTTAAAAAATACTTAAAGAACATATTCAAAATGTACCAAATCACATTTTTAAAGGATAAGAAATGTAAAAATATGTAGATTTATGTTTTTACGTAGATATAGGAGGTAATATCTAAATCAAATAAACAGAAATACTTTATTTTACGATCATCCTCCTGGCAAACAATGCATTTAGTTAAGTCAAAAATAAGTTTTCTTTTTTTTTTTTTTTTTTTTCTTCGTCCTCCATTTGTTAATTATATTTATTATGTGAAACAGCAATAACACAGTATAGATACGTTTTTAATAGCCAAAAACAAAAACAAATCATTCGAATTGTTGCATTCTTATAGATAGAATTATGTAAAAATATAATAAAAACATTTAAAATAATACAATGGTCAAGCATGAAATATTTTATCAAAGCAGGTATGTTGTAAAAATATGGAGGTCAAAAAAAATGGTTTTGTCTAAAATTTGTTTTATATTATTTTAAATACCTGATTTATGCTCTTTTGATTAGTATAAAAAAAAATTTAATTTGCTAAAAAAAAAAATTAGTTGCTATGGGGACCAGTTGCATCATATCACCTGTTACTCAAAATGAAAAACGAGTGACAGCTGTTATTTTTCAAAATAAGGTTTGATCTTGTCTCTTGGAATAGTGTAAATACAAATGCTATTTATGTGGGTATATATTGTGACTTTTAAATTGTTGATAAGTTTAATTTATTATTTTTAATTTTTTTTTTAATTTCAGAGATAAAATGTTTCCTGCACTTGGTTTTGGCGCTGTAATACCTCCTAATGGACAGGTATGTGTTGGAAATAATGGAAGAAGTTAATGATCTAGAACATTTATATTACTTCTTCTTTTTTCTTTTTTTTTTTTTTTTTTGGAATTTGTTTAGTTAAGTTTTGTTTTGTTTACTTGTTAAATTACTTTTAGGTATCATTTGAGTTTCCTCTTACATTCAATCCATCAAATCCTTATTGCTTCGGTAAAAAAATGTTTTAAACATAATATATAGTTATAATCAATGCTTTCTTTATAAGATAATGGCATAGTCATCAGGAGCAAATAGATTTTCACAAGAAAATGATTATGCAGCATTTAAATATTTTTTAGGTGTTGCAGGGTTATTAACTGCATATCAAAATTGTTTGCGTAATATTAAATTGTATGGGCCAACAAATATTGCTCCAATAGTCAAACACATAACAACTTTTTGTCAAAATATTATTCAAAGTCAGCCTTTATCTGCATCAGTAAGTCTAAGGTTTTTTTGTATGTAATAACTTGTTTTGCTTTTATGTAAATTAAAAAAGTTTAAAAAAAATCAATATGATTTTACATAGGTTAATACAGGTTAACGTTTTATGATGAACTACCCCCAAAAATGCAATACTTTTTATAATTATATGGTCTTTGATAGTTAAATGCTACCTAATGGGATCATTAAAAAAAAATAATAATAAAAAAAAAGAATGAAAACTGCCTTAATTCAAACTAATATCTCATTTCAGCCAAAGTTTGACAATAGGAATTCACTTTGGTTGAAAAAGTCGAACCATTTTCCTTGGTTCCTTATAGGTTAGATTATAAAATAATGAAGTGACTAATGTTAAAACTAAAATATATATAACAAATCATAATAGATAATAATTTAATAAATAATAGTAAATGTTATTATTTTAATATTTTAATACTATTATATTAAGATTTATACTTAGTCTTAGTTTCAAAGTATCTTGAGTAAAAAAATAATTAACAGAAATCTAGACCACCCTACACTAAATGGTGCCAAGTAATACTACAACTTCATAACATCACTTAACTGACAAAGATAGTAATCTTGCTTTACAAACTGCTAAGTAACACTCCTATTAAAACATAAAAAACAGAATATAAAAGTGTGTAAACTTTGAACATATTATAATTTATAAACACATTTAATAAACTATTAACATTTATTATATTACTCATGTAAACATGCTTATCATAAATTACACTGGCGAACAACAAAGAAGTTGTCTTGTAAGCCAGGTACTGTTTTTTTCTAATTTTTGAGTGCTGATTCCAAAAATACCATCAGTTTCTTTCTATGATATCTTTACCGCTTTTTTTTCACATTTAAATGCATTTTTAATAGTACAAAATCCCCTGGAAAATTACCCCTAGATCTTACAGATATACAGTTTCCCTGGAAAATTCATTACCCAATTGTCTTAATCCAAACTAAAGCTAATAAAACAAACAGATTCTATTGTTGTAGGAGAAAATACAACCAACAAAAAATATGATATTGGAATAAAAACCAATTTGATGTTGCATACATAAACAATATAAATGTGTATATGTCATTAGTGTAAAATTCCATATTATTTGTATTAATTGTGTATACTCTGTATTTATGGCACTAATCTATTTCAAACAATGTTTGGTATAGAATAAATATAGTAGTTAAAAATCTTGTGTGCACTTGAATTGGTACAGCTTAGAAATCTTTGAAAAAAGTTTTGAAAATCTTCAAGGAAGTAATTTGTTCATTACAAAGTAAACAAACAGCTGTTATTAGTTTATTATCATTGTTATATACTAATTCACCATGAGCTCCAGAGGATGTGTAAACAACCCAGACTTGTTCTGCTACATTTGTGGACTTTTTACTCCTGTAGGTCATAGCAAAACAATGACACCTTTTATAAAGACTGCATATTTTCATTATTTTGGATGCCCCATTGGTGATCAGAACAAAAAAAGTGGCCCAGATACCTGCTGTAGTAACTGTTTTTTGGTACTGGCAATGTGGTTTAATGGTAGGAAAAAGCATATGACATTTAATGTGCCTATGGTATGGTATGAACAACAAGATCATGTGAATGACTGCTATTTTTTGCATGAGTAAAATTACTGGAATGAGCTTTAAAACAAGAAACAAAACAGATTATCCCACTGTAGTATCTGCTATAAAACCAGTTCCACATAGTTGCGAGTTGCCTGTTCCCATGTCACATGTAGACAAGCAAATTATAACACCTTCAGAAGAAGAGGAATCAGAACAAGAAAATCCTTCATCTGATATTGAATACCAGCCTGAAGAATGTACGTCTGTGCCTCATCTACTCGATCAGCAAGATTTAAAAGATTTGGTAAGGAACTTACATCTGTCCAAAGGCAAGACAGAACTGTTAGCCACAAGATTTAAACAATGGAACTTGGTTGCTTGTGATGTGCAAATTACATCCTTTCGTAACTAAAGTTCTGAACAGTCAGGCTGTTTTCAGACAGTTATTCAGCTGCGCTTCTTGTTCTTGTGCGTGTGTTTTAAATTTTTGATATTGAACCTAACCATGATGATTGACTTATGTTTATTGGTTCCAGTTTCACACTCATTACACTTGAAGGAATCCTACGAAAACATGCTTATACTCCTGAATGCAATTAAGTATGATAAATACAAATTAAAAATATGATCTTAAAGTAACTGATTTAATGTTAGGCATGCAGAGTGGCTTCACAAAATACATGTGCTTTTTATGTTTGTAGGACAGCCGGGCAACACAGGAGCACTACATGAAAAAGAGCTGACCTCTGCATGAAAAATTTACTCCAGGACAGCACAATGTTAAATCTAACTCGCTGGGTGATCAAGGTAGCATTTTCCTGCCACCACTAAAATATATAAAATTAAGACTCGTAAAAAGCTTTGTCAATGCCATGGATCCAGAGAGCAATTGGTTCAAATATGTGTTGAAGTTTTCCAGCTATAAGTGATGCCAAAGTAAAGGAGGGAATATTTGTTTGCCACAAGTTCGAGTTCTTCTGAATGATACAGAGTTTCCTAATAAACTAAATTTTAAAGAACAAAGAGCCTGGAAGGTTTTTAAAGATATTTGCACAAATTTTATAGGATCACACAAAGCTCTCAACTTTAAAGATAAAGTTAGATAACTGCTAAGTTCTAGGTCTAGGTGCTAGGATGACTTTAAAAGTACATTTCTTGCATAGCCATCTGGATTTTTTCCAGAGAATCTTGGTGCGGTCTTGGACAAGCATGGAGAACATTTTCACCAAGTCATTGGCACTATAGAGAAGCGCTACCAGGGACGATGGGACCCTAGAATAATGGGCGACTACTAATAAACTATTACCATTATATTGGATGCTTAAGAAGAAAATTAAAGAAAACACACTTTTATGAGATATTTAGTTCCATAGCAGCAAACACAAAATATGAAGCAATCAATGGACATCGGATAAATTGCATTTCTTTTCCACAAAGGTTACAATGTACTATGTAGACCCCTATAGTAAATAAAACTACAATAATAGGATTGCATAAACAGTTTTGTAATCTGAATTGGTCTATTCACAGTATTAAAATTATAAAATGGATAGTCTGTTAGAACAAAAATGTATAAAAAAATAATAATTTTTTTTCTATTATATATGTTAACCATTACACATGGGGAAATCAGCCTTAAATCGTATCATATAAGGCGTCAGGTATCTAGAAATCCAGACCTGATTCAGAAAAGCTTCTTTGATTTTCAGAATCAGCACCCAGAATTTAGTTATTATCACTTATAGCAACCGAAGATACTGGGCAAAAAAAATTTTTTTATCAATTAACAATATTTAAAAATAAATTTGTGTTTTTTTTTATCTCACATCACTATATTGGGGTGCAGGCAAAAGTAATAAAAAGATATGGTTTACCATACTTTTTAATTATAGAGATAGCATCTTCAAAGTTAATTTTAAGACATCCTAAGTAAATAGAAAATTATAACGCACCCTGGTCTAACATTATGATTGTTACCAAGGTTGTTTACATCTTCACATAAGGCATCATACTGCATGCTTCTCAGTTTGTTTTGGTTGTTTCTTTTAAAACAAGACACACTCTTTAATTTGAACATATGCATCAGCAACATTGCTGAAATTGTTTCTCGCCATAAAATATTGAACAGAAGTTTTGTCATACTGAAGATCCATAATTGTAAAACTGAGATAATTTAACATGATTTCTTACCAGTGCACATTAAGCCAGAATTGTCTAAAAATGGAAAAACTATTTATAGGTTGAATATAAACATATGATACACATTTATAGGGTTTTTTGGGGCCACGGATTTTATTTTTAGGCTCCATTTTAATTGTGGAGTGTTCCTAACCACACAAGTGGTTATTTTAGGGGTTGTCAAGGGTGGTCATGGGGTCTCTTGTGTGTGTGTGTGTGTGTGTGTTTGTGTGTGTGTGTGTGTGTGTGTGTGTGTGCACCAATTGATGCAGACACACACAGTCACATGCCATCACTTGGAAAAAAAAGTAATTAAACGGTAAGATTTAAGTTAGCTGACATGCTCAATATAATTTCTAAATGACTGGGTAAATAACTTTCCTGGAAGTAGGTGGAGCACAATCTTCAACAAATACAACTGCAACTTTACTAACTATAATTTGCAAATAAAACATTAAATCATGTAAGCAAAGTTGATTGCTATGTTGTTGTTTTCTAAAATTCACTGCTGCATTTGGGTCGGAGATATACAGTTGATAATATGTTGTGGGGAATATCTTGATCTGGCTTAAGATTACCTACACAATAAAAAACTTGACCGCATATTCTAAAACATGGCACCCTATGATTCATAGGCTAAACCATATTATCAGTAAATAAAGCAAAATAAAGACAGGCATTATAAATTTTAATATATTTTAGAAAATTCTTATTGAAATTATGATATATATAATTTCCTGTAAATAAATTTTGAAAAGCTTGTGGAAATAGTGAAAATGGAAACAAAACTACCTTCCCACTTAAGCAACATAAACGCCTTTTATCAATAATTGTGTTTCATCAAGAAATTTGTAGCACCACAATGATGAAAAATCTGGTTCATTTATCCTAAATAATTATAATTTAGAATATTATCACTTCTTGCTATATAATTCATTCTTTCTTGTCTAGCAGCATTTCATACATTTTGCAGATGATTAATCCTATCTTGCATAGACCTATCTTTTTGATTTATGTGACAATTGCATTCATGTTGCCTGACCATGCTGTTCTAGTTTAGGTATAAAATAATATCTTCTTGGCAAGAAGCATTTCTTACATTTTGACAACAATTAGTTTCAGCTTGTCTAGTTCTAATTATATTATTTAAGTGTCAATTAATTTTTTAAATTTTAATTGTGTTAGTATTTTTAGCGTTTTGGTAATTCTAATTTAAATTGTTTTAGTAATTTTAGTGTTTTAGTATTATCTTTGCTGATGATTCTAACTTATTTTTTTCTCATAATAACATTTCTACACTTTTTAGCAACATGAACATTGAACTAGTCAGAATTTCTGAATGGTTCAGATTAAACAAACTATCATTAAATATTGATAAAACTAAATGGATTCTTTTTCATCCTTATGGTAAAAAGCACCAGCTGCCTAGAAACTTACCTTTTCTTTTTATCGATAACATAGTTATTAAAAGAGTTCTAGTGATAAGATTTTTAGGTGTATATATCAATGAAAATTTTACATGGAAAAGCCATATTACTAACTTGTGCAGAAAAATTTCAAAGAGTATAGACATTTTATACAAAATAAGAAACGTTCTTGATAAGTATACCTTAATTTAGTTATATTATTAGTTAATTCATTCCCATATTAACTATGCAAACAATGCTTGGGGTAGCACTTATAAAAGTAAACTTGAACCTCTCTATCAGCAACAGAAGCACGTAGCACGCCTTATAAATTTCAATGATCATTTTGCTCATGCCAAGCCTCTTTTATATGATATGAAAGCACTCAATATATATGAGTTAAATGTTTTTAATATTCTTTGTTTTATGTATAAATGCAATACCCACCGATCGCTCGTTTCTTTTCGTAACTTATATTTACAAAAAGATAGAAATAAATATATTTTAAGGAACAATAACTTAATTTGATAACCATTTTCTCAAACTAATTTTGGAAAATTTTTTATTAAATTTCGTAGACCATTTTTATGTAATAGTATAGTTCTAAATACCTCTAAAGATATTTCTCAAGAATGTAATTTTGATTCTTTTAAACAAAATCTTAAAAAACTCATTTTTTCAACTGAAAATATACTAATCTGCTTTTAAATTTTTGTAAATCTCTTATCTATATTAGTATATGTATTTTATTTAATGTATATTTTTTTTTATTTCTTTGTTAATTATTTTATCAACAAACAATTATTTAACATGTTTAATCTAGTGAATTATTTAACATGTTTTAAAGTTTTAGAACTATTCTATTGTAATATTGTATGTTTATTTTTAATTTAATTTATAATATTAAATTACTTTTTATTAATTTTGTAATAAAAAGAAATTGAACAATATTATATAAATAATAAGAATAAAAACATTGAAAAAAAATAATAATAATAAAATAATAATAATAATAATTGAAAAAAAAAAAAAAAAAAAAAAAAAAACAGACAAAAGTATTAAATATATATATATATATATATATATATATATATATATATATATATATATATATATATATATATATATATATATATATATATATATATATATATATATATATATATATATATATAAGAAAAAGAAAGTAAAAAAGAATGGGTGTATGTGTATCTGCCAATATATGTATGTAGGCTACGTTTAGAAATAAACCATCCTTTGGCAGTGGCTAGGCGTTTTTGTTGTTAAAAAAGTAAACGATAATTTGGTAATTTGGCTAAACACACAGCGATAACCATCGTATCTAGGTTCTTTTGTACAACCTTTTGAATGATCTGGAAATGTACTTTATTTAGTCTGGAAATGTGATTACATTGATTATATACAATGATATATAGTGAATAATATGTAGCAATTAATAAGTTTCAGTGATTATTTTCGACAAATTGAATTCAGTGCATGCAAGAAATTTATTTAGAAAATTATGAACATTATTATTAGAATGAGTCAGTTGTTCGGAAGACAGTAATTTGATTGATGCAAGGCGTAAACACCACAACAAAAGGAAAAACCATTAAAAAAAACGTTCTAATTTCTTCAGTAGCAGTTTCTCTGTGACAAGACCTTATGGTCTTCTTTGAGTATCTGCGTTCTTTATTTTTATTTTTGTACTTTATTTCTTAATGATATCTTGACTTGCTAACTTTTCTTTTTTTATATTATTTGTAACATATGTATCATAAATATTGTATTAAAGAACAAAAAAAACACACACACACACAAAAAAGGGTTAGGGTTAGGGTCATGGGTTCAGGGTTAGGGTTAGGGTTAGGGATTAGTTAGGGGAAAAAAGTATTTCTTTTAAAAACTTCTTTAACCCTAATATCATCCATTTTTAATTTTATTATTATCAATAAACATATTAACAGTAATAACAAATAAATGCAAAAGGATTTTAAGAAATAAGATCTTTTCTTTAAAATTATTTACGACTATTTTAAGTGAATATAAGAATAAAATAACTTTCATAAATCGCTGTTATTTAAAAAAAAGAAGAAAACAAAAGAAAAGAAATTATCTAAATATTAATAGTGTAAAGTTGTAAAAACATATTTTTAAGAAAGTATCTAAAAAGAGATAAATAGTAATGTTCAATGTTTTCATGTTAAATACATAAATGAAATTTTAAAAATTAAATAAAATCTTACTCAAATCAGAATCAATTCGACTGCCTAAAAAGGTTTACTTTTATTAACCCTTCTAATAACCAAGAAAACAATAAACTAAATTGAAGTAACTAAAAAGCAATTCAACTCTTCCTAATTATTCTGAAAAATAAAAAAAAAAACTTAAAATATTTTGAAAGTAACTTAAGACAAAACTGAACCAAAAAGAAATGCACAGTAATGATAAAAAAACTAATTTACCATTCATTTTAGTACTATCTTTTTCTATAAAAAAGAACACAGGCTATAAAAATCAGAAGAAAAAAAACAATCATCAAAGCAAACGTTTATTTAAATTTTTGTTTTAAACTTTAACAATAAACAACATTAATCCTTCTTAAAAACTAAAAATTTATCAGCTTAAGTATTTTTGCAGACCTTTCTTGAAAGATTGTGTGGAATAGAGAAATGCGTTTAGAAAAGCCTAGAAATTACTTTGAAATGACATAAGACGACACTATTAAATTAGACTATTAATATTTAAATATTAGTGTAAATAATTGAACATACATAGAACAATTATTAAATATATCTTGTTTCAAGATATACAATATAACATTTCTCAGTGGCATAGGTAGGTCATAGCAGTTGGAAGAGGTACAGGCTACACTAAAGATACAGAGGTACAGGCTTCACTAAACTTAAAAAAAAAACAAAAAAAGTAGTATTAATTTTAATACTACTTCTATAATCATAAACTCCTATGAATAAAATGTATTTTTGTTTATAATTTAGGTTATGTATTTTTTGTTTTTTCCATATATATATATATATATATATATATATATATATATATATATATATATATATATATATATATATATATATATATATATATATATATATATATATATACAGTCCATAAGTGAGGCAGGATACCATCCTGTCACCTTTTTATAAAGTATAAACCATCCTGCAACTTTTTTATAAATCTCTATTTATAACAATGATTAGGCGGGATGGTATTGTTAATTTGTCAAATACCATCCCATTACTTTTTTTTGCCAAATACCATCCCATTACTTTTTTTTCTTCACTTTAAGCACTGTCGATGTAGCAGCACTCCCTTGCGAGTTAGGCTATTTGTCAGTCGATGTAGCAGCACTCCCTTGTGAGTCAGGCTATTTGTCAGTCGATGTAGCAGCACTCCCTTGCAAGTCAGGCTATTTGTCAGTCAATGTAGCAGCACTCCCTTGCGAGTTAGGCTATAAGATAGTCGATGTAGCAACACTCCCTTGTAGCAGCAGGCTATAAGATAGTCGATGTAGCAACACTTACGCATGTTTTAAAAATGTTTTTTAATAAAACAAAAACAAAAACACCACTAATTAAAAAAAAACTTTCTAGTCATTATTATTGCGGTTTTTTTTAAAAAACAATAAAATTTAATGTACTTCCGCATTAATTTAATTGCTTTGACATTTCAATGACAATCAAATACAGCTTAAGAGACGAGGTAATAAAAATTGTAGTCGAAAGAGACTTTTTTTTACCATAAAAGTGTCTTTTGACTACACTATAAGGATATATATATATATATATATATATATATATATATATATATATATATATATATATATATATATATATATATATATATATATATATATATATATATAGTTTTATTATATATATGTGTAAACTTACATTACGTTTTTTGTGGAATTGCAAATTTTATTTTAGGAAATGTTGGTAGTTTTAAAATGATATTTTTATTTTGGATCCTGTTTTACTTAATATTTTGTTATTATTTCACTAATCATTTTTTATTATTAATAACTTAATTTTATTGAATAATATTTGTTAGAATTACTTTGTTCTACTATTACTGACTGATGGAGTTATTTCTGACATGGATGCAACAGTTGCTGCCATTGTAGATGCATCATATCTTCCTATATCTCTTATTATTGTTGGAGTAGGAAATGCTGACTTTTCACAAATGAATTTTTTGGATTGTGATCAAGGAAAGTAAGTTGAATAAAGTTAAAAAACTTTGTTAATTACTGCCCATAATTTTTATTATTACTGTTGACTAAAATATCTTTATTTAAAAAATATTTTTATTTAATATATTGCATAAAGATGTTCAGGGAAAATAAAAAAATAGAATAAAAATTAGAAAGATTGTGCATTATTATAATATGTAAATGTTACATAAATTGTGTCTAAACTAATTTAAAGTTTTACAATGTTAATAATGCATACATTTAACATTATAAAAAGGGACCAGCATGCCAACTATACCTTGAAAAAAATAATAAAAATTAATTTTCAACAAATTAAAGTGTTAAATATGTGTTAGATCTTTAATAGGTTGAAATAAAAATTTAACATAACCTTAAAAATGTAACATAAATTTAACCAAACCTATTTGTTATATTAAAATTTTTGTTGTATTTTTAAATGAATATAGTGTAAATATAGCATTAGTTTTTTTAAGATTTTCAATTCAATAGACTTTTTCATAAATAAACGTCCAAAAAACATAAAACAATGCTCAAGTTGTACCGAAAGTAAACAAACCAAATGGCATCTAATAAAAAATCAGTAAGAAAATCTTCTGGAAAACAATGTGTTGCATTTAATTGCTTCAATCGAAGTTATAATATCGAATGTGGAGAACAAAAAGGCTTCTGGCATTAAATTCTTTCATTTTCCTAAAGATAAAAATGAAGTTGCTCTTTAGTGCAATTTTTTGACGAAAAAACAGTTTTGATGTTACTTAAAACGTATTTTAGACCTGAGCTTATTTTAAAAATTGCTGGAGGTATTAGATGCACTTTAATAAAAGGTACATCTAGTACCTCAAAGTTATTTCAGCTGTAAAAATCATCTTTTCATAGCTGAAATGAAAAAGAAATGAAACCACCGACTTTTATGATTCCAAAAAAATTTTGATGATATTAATCCTAGTAAATTGTTCAAATAGTAAGATTATTGACAAAAAGTTAGAAATAAAGCAGTTGCAGTATGAAAATAAGAGAATTAAAGAATTAAAGATGAAGGCAATAAATTTGTTGAACATGTTTTCTCATCTGACATAACTGAAACATTATACAGGCTTTCCAAATAGAAAAACATTCAATGCAGTTTTTATATTTCTTAATTCTAGAGAAACTAGGATTAAGAAATATTAAAACCACTTATAGTAATTAATAAATCTAATAATAAAATTTCAACAAACAAGGACCAATTGAGTTCAAATGCTACTACAATCAGATTCAAAATGCAAAATGTAAAAACAACTCAAACATGGTGTAATTTTGTGTTTTACACTTCAAAAGGTCATTGATCAAATTAAATGTGACTAAGTAGATTAGGAGAAACAAAAGAAAAATGTAAAATCAACTTTTACTTCAATTATATGTTGGACGAAATAATTTTAAAAATAAACAATGATATATCAGAATGTCAGAACAATGTATAATTGTATATAAAAAAATAACTTTAAATGTATTATACAAAATGTAATGCTCAATGTTCTTAAAAGAACTGAGCAATAATAAGTAGAAAATCACCTGACTAATTTTGCTCATTTTACACTGTTTCATTTTTCGCTCATTTTACACTGTTTTATTTCATGTGTATTCTACAAAATGTAGTGCTCAATGTTCTTAAAAGAACCAAGCAGTAATAATTAAGTACAAAATCACTTGACTAATTTTGCTCATTTTACACTATGTTTCATCTATTAAGTCTCATCAGAAGTGAATGATAAAATTAATAAAACTATAATTTATGCCAAAAATTACAGGAAGTCATAAATGTCTTAACTACTGTAATATTTCAACACATTTGTGATTTTATTGACACTATCATAAAAAGAATTCTTTAGAATTGAGGAAACGCATCTTTTGGGCCGATATTATTGTATTCTTTACATTTAATTAATTTCCATTATTTCATCAAGTGAAGCACCAAACATTTTTTTTGTCGAGTACCAAACCACAGGGTTCTACGATTGTTCTATAACAAGAGAACTTCATAATGTTTTCATAATACCTTAATGTAAAAGGTATAATATTTACAGTAGGAACGTTTATATAAAATAATATTATAAAACCATGTTACCCTGTATGCCAAATTTTTGAATATTTTGAATATCATATTTTTGAGTATTATATTTTATTGTTGTATACCACTTTTGAGTATTATATTTTATTGTTGTATAAATCTATTTGGAAATTTATTCTCTAGTTTGTTACATAAAATTGCAGTGAACCGATTCCTTTTGTAGTCAAACAATTTTGAATTTCCATATTGCTTCCTTGTCTCTTTTTCAATTTGAGCCACTGTTTTGTTTAATAATTTCATATTTTCTGAAAATTTTATTTTTTCAATGCAAAATATTTTTTCAACATGAGTTATTAAATTAAATCCGTTATCAAATCCGTTGCAAAATTAGCCTCTGTTAAATCTCTTTATCGAGCTCGACACTTTTTTACTCTGGATTCTATTCTCTATCTCTATAAATCTCAAATCCGGCCTTGTATGGAATGCTGTTGCCATATCTGGGGCGGATCTTCTAATGATGCCCTTTCTCTTTTAGACAAGGTGCAAAAACGCATTGTAAATATAGTTGGACCTGCTCTTGTAGCCAACCTTCAACCTTTGTCACATCGTCGAAATGTTGCTTCTCTTTCTTTTTTCTACAAATACTATAATGGGCACTGCTCTAAAGAGCTAGTGTCTCTTGTGTCATCTACTAAAATTCACTCTCGTGTTACTCGTCATTCAATTAAGTCTCATCCTTTTTCTGTTACTGTTCCTAAGTGCTCCAAAAACTCTTATTTGTCTAGTTATTTTCCTCGAACATCAGTTCTTTGGAATTCACTTCCTTCATCTTGCTTTCCTGATTCATATAATTTGCAATCTTCTAAGTCGTCTGTCAATCGTTATCTTGCTCTACAATCTTCATCTTTTCTCTTCCAGTAACTTCTTTGTTGGAAGCGAAAATGTTAAAAAAAAAAATTTGTTCCATTAAATGGGGATGTGGGGTACTCAATGTATTGAATACTTTCTAAATTTTTTGAAGGTTCTGGTAAATTGCTGTAAACATAACTTGGTGGAACTAAAGCACATTGACAGCTTAGTACAGACCCAAAAAGTACACTTCCTATGCTTGTTTTGATTGTTCCATTTGATTGATTTAAAATGGTTAACATATGGACTTTAACATCACTTTTTTAAAAGATTGCTGTAAAGTTCTTTAATTTTTTCCATTATCATTTTGTCTGTTTAAATCAGTTCTATCATCATACAATGTTGGTTTGATTGTAGGGAATGGGAATGGGAATTTTTTTGGATAAGGTTTTTTTTTTCTTGAGTGGTGACTTTTAAATCACTTATTGGGGTTTTATTATATCTTTTACGACTTTGTGGTATTGATCAAGCACAAGTTCTTGATGTACAGGTTTAATTATTTGAAACAGTTTTTTTTCTTTTTAATTTTTGTCACCTATTTTGGTGAATGCAAATGAATGCCAACAAATTCCACTTTTTTCTGCTGGGCATTGACAAAAAGCATACTTTACTGATGCATAAGATTTATTAATAGCAATAAAAATCCATTTGTCAACTTTTTTCATGCTAGACTCCTTTTACACAAAATAGTTCAACACTGCGTGTGAACTATTTTTAATAATGAACAGAGAATAAATCTAGGAATTGTTCATAGGTATTGTAATAGATATTATAATAGGTATTGCTCTTCAAGAAATTGTTATTTTCATTTTTGTAACCATCAATTATGTAATTTTTTCTCATGAGTTGGATCACAAACAATAGAATTCATTCCATAATAAAAATATTGTAACAATTTAATTTGAGTTTTAACACTTTTAAGTAAATTGCCATGATAATGAAGCCACCTTTTTACATGATAATTAGTATACAATTGAATTTTTTCTAAATCAAATTTGACAATTGGATTGTTTATATTGTTAAAACAATTAATTCTGGATCTGAAATATTTTTTTATAATAAAATAAAAAGTTAACTACACTAAATAGAATTTACTAAACTTTGTAGATAAAAGTAAACTTCAGCTTATTTTTGATAGCAAAATACTTTTCTTTGAATTTTAATTGAATACTAGAAAATAATAACAAACCTATTTCTTGTCAAAAAACTTCATTTTTGTTTGAACATAATGACATTCTTCTTTTAAAATAACAAATAAAGCTCAAAGTTTAAAGAAACAATTTTTTAAAGCTTAAGCAATTAAATATTTTTTCGTTTACATTAACGGTACAACCTGTGCTTTGATTTGATACACGACCATTTATTTATGAGGTCTACACATTTAATTCAATAAATTGATTTTTTGTTTACAAATAGATTACGATCAAGTAGAGGCAAAGAAGCGCTTCGAGATATAGTTCAGTTTGTACCATTTCGAGACTTTAGACAAGTAAATAATTTTAAATTCTTGTTTTTATTGTATTATTGTAATATTGGTTACTATTTTCTGTATAGCATATAGAATATATCTTTATAGTATACGGTTTTTTCAGAAAAAAAAAAAAAAAAAAAAAATGAAGAATAATGAAAGAAAAGAATGAAAAAAAAAATTATATTAGAGTGTCTTAAAAAAAGTCTTAATGCATGGCTCTTACCATCTAAAAAGTTTTGGTGAGTTATTATACCAAGACATTTTTTAGCTTGATAGGAAATATTTTAGGGATCCCTCAGAAACCCTGAAAATTAACTGGGAACCTTAGTCAGAAAAAAAATTGCTCATTTTACAATGGCAGTAATGCACAAATTTTTTTTTGATTTAACATGTCTGGAATTTTAAATAATTTTGTTCCAACAGATAAAAAAATGCTATGTGTTCTTGTGAATGTGTTCTTGTGAATGTGTTCTTGTGAATGTGTTCTTTGAATTAAATTGAGTTCTAACAAATTTAAAAAAAGTTAATGCAGCTAAAAAATTGTCTATTTACAAATTTTTTAATAAATAAAAAACTGTGGATGCACCTAGTAATGACATACAGTTGATCAACAAACTAAAGAACCATGGTAACACAACTATGAGTAAGATTGATTTGAAAATGATGTCTCAAGATTCCCGGTATCTCAGTCCAGAAATAGAATGAACAACAGGAACTGGTTGATCACGTTTTCTGAATATGGACCACACCTCTTAAATGATTTACCATCATGTTGCAGAACTTGCATCTTGAGTATTTTTCATACATCTTGAGTGTTTTTCAAGCATCTTGAGTGTTTTTCAAAACAACTAGATGTTATTTTTTCCTTACCGCGTTGGTGGAAGGCTAGCACTAAATTTTGACATATAAAGAAGCACTGTATATTATCGTCAAACCCTCAGAAATTCATTGAGAAATATAACAGCATAACTAAGGGCAAGAGTCAAAATCAATATTTTACAAGTTATTAAGCAATACCAAAAGAAATTCAGCCAGCTTACAAACCAAGAACTGGTAAACATTTGATAAAGAAATCAATTTAAACTTATAATGGGTTTAGCTTAAGTGTAGTTTTTTACATAATCTGAAATTATTATTAAATTATTAAATTGAGTTAAATTAGAGTTACATTAAAAAGTTTTTTTTTTTTTTAAGTGTCTTTAAGTAACCTCTAAAATATTTCCTATGAAGCTAAAAACTTTCCTGGTGTAAAAACTCACTAGCAAGAAACTTTTTGATGGTAGTGTCAGGTTCAAATATAGTTGATCTAATAAATGTTTAGAAAAAATACAAAGAATTTTAATACATTATTAATAAAATGATAAATATGGTAAATGGTAAATAGAATAATAAAAAAAATTAAAAAGTTTTTTAAAAAAAGTTTCTTAAAAACAAATTTTTAACTTATTTTTTTTGTTAGAAACTTGTTTATTTGTTAAAAAAAAAAATTTTAATCTCCTTTTCCAAAAAAAATACCAGTTAACCTAGTTTATCGGGTTTTTTTTTGGTAAAACACAGTAAAAAATCCATTTCAATTAAATACAAATATTCAAGAAATTTTTTAATCAAATGCATTATGAATACAAATATGCCAGTTTAACCCATAGCTACCAAATACACGTACGATTTTAAATCAAATGCATATTCGACCCCAACCCTGGTAAGAGCCATTTATTTCGAAGTTTCTCGTGTTTTTGGTTCAAAGTATGGCTGTAAGAGCTTTTATATATACATTGACTAAAATGGGTATAATATCCAAGAGAGTTGCTGCTACATCAAGTAAGCGTGAGGGTTGGGTCTGGGATAAGTTTTTCTATTACTCTTTGTATTTTGGATCAAATCAACATAATAACAATTTCAACTTAACAACTTCATGCAAATGTTTAAAAACAACTCCTTGTCAGCAATGTTTTTTAATGATGAATAGCTTACCCAATATTTTTAGCTGAATAAAATGATGTTAGCAAAAATTTGCAAGCCTCAGACACTGCATGTTAGCAGTTTAATTAATATAGCAAAAAGCTAACCCTAATTCTAAGTGTTAATATATGTATATATCTACTATATAGATACATATTTTCGATTTAAAAAGCCATCTTAATTAAACACTTTTTTCCAAAATGAATTTTTCAAATCAGTATATCATATATATATATATATATATATATATATATATATATATATATATATATATATATATATATATATATATATATATATATATATATATGTATACATATATATATATATATATATATATATATATATATATATATATATATATATATATATATATATATATATATATATATATGTATACATATATATATATATATATATATATGTATATATATATATATATATATATATATATATATATATATATATATATATATATATATATATATATATATATATATATATATATATATATACACACTGGTGGCTAAAAGTGTGTTTCCACCCCAAAAAAATGAATTTTTAAACATTTTATCATAAAACCTTTATTTTATGTAAACATTGATATAAATGTGTGTAAATTAAGTTGCAACAATATTTTCAATATTTTAAATAGTTTAAATAAAATAAAATAATCCAAGAGATTCTTGGATTATTTTATTTTATTTATTTTTTTTTGTTATTCACCTCCTCATGGCTGAGAAGGCCACTACAGACGAGGAGGCTACTTAATAGTGGTTATAACCCTCTCTCAATTCTACAACTCTGAAACACGAACCTTGACGAACAAGGCCGCTGCGCGGAGAAACAAGTTAAGCGCAGTACTACCAGGGACGTGGTGGGGCTCGAACTCGGAACCTCTTGCTTATGAAGCGAGTGTTTTACCACTACACCACTACCCACTTACCCTTTTATTCAAATTTTCAGCTCATTTGTTAATAATTTTTGGTCGACCGAATCTTTTGCAAGTCTCTAAACAGCCATCTTTTCCTTTTTTAATATTTATTTGAACAGTTCACTAACATACACCAACTTTTTCAGCAATTTGTCTTTGGCTAAAACCTTCTTTATAAAGTGCATATATTGCACCAGGTTTTGTTGGTTCTAAATCACCCATTGCAGCATCAAAATAGTCTAAAACATTATTGTTATCCTTAAAAACTAAAAGAAATAATAAAAAAACAAAAAAATTAAAAAAATTGGTTTTGAATATTTAAATAAAAAACCGTTGATGGATACACACTTTTGGCCACCAGTGTATATATATATATATATATATATATATATATATATATATATATATATATATATATATATATATATATATATATATATATATATATATATATATATATATATATATATATAATGCTGACCTAACTGCTTATCTGAAAGTGTTTAAGGTCGACAAAAATTGCCATCTTCATTTCTATGATTTATGTTCAGACCTTTGTATCAAATAATTTTTGCCGATCTAATTCCGACCTCAAAAACATTGAGGTTGGCAAAAAATTGCCGACCTCATTTTTCCTATTTCCAAGGGTTATATATATATATATATATATATATATATATATATATATATATATATATATATATATATATATATATATGACTATTTCCACGATGGAAGAGATAAATTTTGTGTTTAAAAATTTCTTTTTTCAAAAAATTTTTTTTCTTTATTTGTAGTTTAAACACTATAAAATTATTGTTAAAACAAATTTTGAATAGAAAATATTTGAACCAAGTAGATAAATTTGATGAATGTTAGCAGCTGTTTTTTTTTTTATTATTGAAAAAAGGGAGTTAAATTTGAGGGCAAGTTATTGCAATATTTTAAACAAAACATACCCATATTTTTGTTTAGAAAGAATCTTTGAAGTTATTTATGTGTATTATTTTTAAAGAGTAAAAAAACTTTCATTCTTTAAAAATAATTTAAGTGTTTTTTTGTCACATACACATCTGCAAAAATTAGGTTGCGTCACTGAACTAAAAGCTAAAAAAGTTTAATTATCATAATGAAATTAAAGGCGAGGTTTTTTTAGAAATTATCAGTTTTAATGTAAACTTTTCATCACTATTCAAAAAAAATTTATTAAAAAGCATTATATTAACTTATAGTTATAGTTTAAAAGCTGTTGCATCACTGAACCTATCAATGGGATTATTAGCATTTTATAAAATAGCGTGGTAAGGAAGTCAAAATATGATCCAAATGTTCAGATTTCGTTGTAGGTTTTATTCAAATAAATTTTGCATTTTAGTATTGTGAAGGGCTTTTTTTTTTTTTTTATTTGCACTCCCAACAAGGCTGCAAGCAACCACTATTAAGTTGGGAGTTACTAGGAAAAAAAAGAACAGAATTATAGAGCAAGGAAACGGTTGACAGAAGACTTGAAAAGTTGAAGGTTGTATGAGTCAGGAAAACATGAAGATGGGAGAGAGTTCCAAAGAATTGAAGTGTGGGGAAAAAAACTAGATGAATAAAAGTTTTTAGAGCATGCAGGGACAGATACAGTAAACGAATGAGACTTAGCTGAATGACGAGTAAAACGAGAATGAATTTTAGTTGATGGAACTAGAGATGATAACTCCTTTGAGCAGTGACCATGATAGTATCTGTAGAAAAGAGAAAGAGATGCAACTTTACGACGATGGGAAAGAGGTTCAAGCTTAGCAGATAGTCCAGGTCCAACAACATTTACAATGCGTTTTTGGACCTTGTCAAGAAGAGAAAGTGAATCATTAGAAGAACCAACCCAAATATGACAACAGTATTCCATACAGGGACGAATAAGAGATTTGTAGAGGTAGAGAATGGAATCAGAAGTAAGGATATGGCGAGCACGATAAAGAGAAGCAACCTTAGCAGAAGCTAATTTAGCAATGGATTGTATATATGGTTTCCATGAAAGGTCATTAGTAAGCGATAATCCAAAAAGACGTAAAAAGGAGGACTCAGTAAGAGGATTGCCACTCATTAATATAGGAATGTTGACCATATTACGGTAGTT